CTGCGTCGCCGCCGGTCAAGGCGAGTGCGCCGCTCAGGCCGCTGGCGCGCCGCGCGGCGCGCCGCAGCAGCGCGCGTAAGAGCAGGTCTGTTGTGTTGGCCAGGCCGGGCGCGATCTCAGGCAGCAGAGGCCGAATCTCGGACGCCACGCGCGCCGCGCCAAACACCGCGTCGCCCGCGGCCCTGGCACCGCGCCGCTGGGCCGCCGCGGCGGCGCTGGCGCCGCCTGCCGCGGACGGCGGCGGCTGGGCGGCCTGCAGGCGCTGCGCGATCTGGAGGGCTCCTCGGACGACAGACAGCGCCTCCTGGTCTTCCTCGGAAAGCGTGATCGTCGGCGCGACGCGCCCAAGGAGCTCAAGCGGCGTCGGCAGCGGCAGCAGCAGCGGGCGCAGCGGGCCGAGGCGCTCCAGGCGCAGGAGGGCGGCGGCGGCGGGCGGGGAGGCGAGGAAGCTGGCGAGCAGCTGCTGGGCGGCGCTGGCGGAGAGGGCGTCGACGGCGGCGGCCACCTCCTCAACAATGAGCTCCTGTTGGTGTGGGCGGGATGATGGATGGGATGCCAATAGAACTGAGAAACTGTGATGGTTGGTGACAGCGCGACAGCTGAGGCTTGACATGAGCACGAGGCTGTGCAGTAAATATGTGATGTTTGCCACATGATTCTGTTTGCCCTTCTCCTTTCAAACCCCCTCACACACGCACGCACCCACAGGCACGCCGGCGGCCCCACCTGCACATAGCCGCCTTTCTCAGAAAACACCAGCAGCAGCGCGTCCCGTGCCGCGGGATCCAGCGCCGGCCGCTGCTGGCCCACCCCCTGCTGCTGCTGCACCTGTTGCCGCTGCTGCAACTGCAACTGCTGCTGCTCCGGCTGCTGCTGCTGTTGCTGCTGCTGCTGCACCAGGGCTGGCACTCCCGCTGCTGCATCCATGTCAAGGCCGTCTGTTGTGAACGCGCTGAAGCCGTCAGCCAGGCGGACCAGCCTGTGACATCATGTGGCGTCACGCGACGTCACACGGCGCGCGTGGTGGTTGGGCGCGGTCAGGTATGAGTTGATTCGTGACAAAGGCCTCGCATGACATGACAGCTCAACAACTGGCAGCAGGGGCACGACGCCTGGCCTCCTGCCTTCACTGCTGCCTTCACTGCTGACGGCTCTACTGTCAGCCTCAAAACCTCAAGTCAGGGGTTTGGCTGTATCCAACATCAGAAGGGAGTGTGATCACGAGAGCGCAATTCCCCCAAACACGGGCTCTTCCAGTACACCAGCAGTCCCAGCACCCAGGCAATTTGGCTCGGGCCCGCGCGCCGCCCACCTCTCCAGATCCAGGCGCTGCCTGCCGCCGTAGAGGACGTCCCTCAGGGCCGCCCGCATGCGGGGGTCGTCGTCTGACAGCAGGCGGCGCGTGATGTAGGGGAAGCACTCCTGGGGGTGCAAGAATGAGAGATTAGTTGAGGACCGGGCGAGGGGGGCGGGGCCGGCTGGGGCGGAGCAGGCTGGGGCGGGGGCTGAGAGGGTCGCTGGGGTCAGGGCTGACGCACATCCCCCTCGCGCTATCACACGCACACACACACACACACACACACAAACACAAAATCATACACACTCACACACAAAATCACACAAAGACACACACCAGGGCAAAAACTCGACGGGCCAGCCCGGGCACGTAGCCGCCCGCGGCCGCGCGGCCGCGTGGACGCGCAACGCACGCC